GAGAAAGATTTTCTCTGTCTTGCTGTGTATTAAGAATACTAGACACTTTTGTACTATAACACGGATCAAGAAAAACTTTAACTATATTATTTCCTTTATTAATCTTAGACGAATAAAAATATGGCTTTATCACCACCAAATGATTCAACAAATCGATTAATTTCTTTAAACTTAATTAATAATAATGATATTGGACGTACATTAACGTTATTAAAAACACGAAAAGTACTTGTGATATACACAGGTGGTACTATTGGAATGAAAGCACAGAATAATGGTAATGTTGCATTTTTAGAGACATAGACACCAGAATAACAAAAGATATTTATTTGTTTTATTCTTTTTAGTTTTAGCACCAGTAGAAAATTGTCTTCAAGAAGAATTACGTCGTATGAATATAGCACATGATAAACAATATGCCGATTCAATTCGTGAAACGGATCCACGTGAATTATTTTTATATTTACCGTAGGTTTATTTTTCGATAATATTAACTTGAGGTCCAATTAATTGTTTCATAAAAGCAAAATATGATGGGTGTATTTTCATATTTGAGAGATTCTCCATTGATGCTTCGATAAAACTGATTGAAAAACGAAATTTCGTATATATTTAGTTCACCTAATGAAACAGAATGTATAGCTTATTATATATTAGAATATAAACCATTGTTAGATTCAGCAAATATGACTTTTGATAATTATATTCAAATTGCATTAAATATTAAAGTAAGATGAAGAAAACATCCTATTGATTTATTCACATAACAAATATAAATGATTCTTTTTAATTGAATTTTATTAAGGATGTATATGAATTATTTGATGGATTCGTTATTTTACACGGTGTAAGTTAAATATATGTTTTAGAAAGAGAAAAATACAATGAGTTATATATGGAAATTGAGTATATTTTATTTTTAGACTGATACAATGTCTTATACAGCAGCTGCATTATCATTTATGTTTGAACATTTGTCTAAACCTATTGTATTAACTGGATCACAAGTATGTTTGTCTATTTTAGTCTAGATTTCAATGCTTTTTGTGTATGTGAGACTATATTTTTATTTCATTCATACAAATTTAGAATCAAATGTAGAAAGTTTGTTATTTCTTCATATAGATTCCTATATTTGAAGCTCGATGTGATGGACGGGATAATTTAATTGGTTCATTAATTGTGGCTGGAAAGCTGGCACATCGTATACCAGAAGTATATCAAAGTTTGCTTTCTTTTTACATAATTCAATAAATATTTTTTTCATAATGAAAATATTTTTATATTTTTATTTAGGTAACTGTTTATTTTAATAATCGTTTATATCGTGGAAATCGTGTTACAAAAATTGATTCAGAAGGGTTAAATGCATATGAATCATATAATTTTCCACCATTAGCAGAAATTGGAATTAATGTTCAAGGTTAGTAGATACTTTGAGCATTGTTTTCGTGAAATCATGTTTGCATTATCGACAATTTAGAGAATTTTCTCTAACGAGTAAAAGCTTCGAAAAAAACGTTTTTTTAAAAAGTCACTCATATCATAGATATTTATATTCAATGTTATGAGTAGATTGTGAATATAATATTTTTTGTGGGAAAAAGTCATTAAGATCCTAAAACAGAAAGTATTGATTTCACAATAGCTCAAATCAAGGGGAAAATTGTGCTCAGCACCCACAGTATCTTTCACAAGCAGGAAAGTGATGATCTGAGTGTTGAAAAGTGCTTGTAAATGCTGGCGGGCGGTGAAAGACGCAGCTGGTGCTGGAAAGTGCTTGCACGTACTAAACGGTGCTGATGAGTGCTAAAATGTCAAGCGACACTTTTTAGCATTCGTAGCACCTTTCAGCTGCTACCGACACTTTTCAGCACTCACAACGCTTTTCACAACGAGAAAAGTGTAGCTCTTAGTGCTGATTTGGATGCTAAAAGGTGCTGACGAGTGCTGAAATGTCAAAAGGGCACTTTTCAATACCTTTTCAGCACCCAAATTAGTACAAAACGCTGCACTTTTCTCCGTGACTTGCGCTCAAAATTGTGTCAAAGTTCAATAAGATACCATATTGAAAGTAAATGAAGTAGACTAATTCTATTTTGTTTGTGTATGTACATTATGTGTAGGAGTCCCCATCTCTTTCTCAAAGAAGATTCAAAGATTTTCATTCTAAAGTTTTTGATGTTTTATTTAGTTAAACGAGATTTAATTTTTGATAAAGGATATGGACAATTTGCTGTATGTACAAATTTAAATATAAACGTTGGCGTATTAAGATTATATCCTGGTATAACAGCTAAAACTGTATGTATGATTTAAATTGTCTAAAATACAATGTCTGATGGAAATAATATCTTTTTTTTATTCTAAATCATACTTATAAAAAAAATGTCTCATAATAGAAATCGCACATATTTGTAATGTCATTTTTGGAAAAAGGATTATTTGGTAACTATTCATTACATTTACTCTAGGTTCGTCAATTTCTTGAATCACCTATTGAAGGTATTGTATTACAAACATATGGTTCAGGAAATGTACCAAGTAATCGTATGGATTTATTAGATGAATTAAGAAAAGCAACTGAACGTGGTGTTATTATAGTTAATTGTACACAATGTATTAAAGGTATTATTTGATCATTATCATTTTTTACCTAACAGTAATACTATGTTTCTTTTCCGTATCCAGGTTCTGTTCAATATATGTATGAAGCAGCAACATATTTAAATCAAATTAATGTTATTTCTGGTCATGATATGACTGTTGAAGCTGCATTAATGAAATTATCTTTTGTATTAGCTCGATATTCTGATAATAATAGAAGGAAGCAAAAAATGATTCAAAATTTAAGAGGTGAAATGAGTGTTAATAATCCTCATCAATACATCAGACAACTATCAAACTATAATGATTAATTTATTTAGTCGAAATGCAAGACTTGTATTTGTATAGTTTTTTATATTTCTTTTCAATATCGTTCTTTTTAAAATGCTCGAAATCTTTGTTCAATGTGCAAAATATCAAAAAGATTTGCATTTCGAAAAAACAACTGAGAAAAATATTTTTATTTAGTTTCATATTCTTTCAAAAATATTCATAATATATTTGCCTACTCATGTGCATTAATTGTCACATTTCCAAATATAAACTTGAACAGTTTTCT